CCCCAAAACCCCAAAACCCCAAAACCCCAAAACCCCAAAACCCCAGTATAAGAGTTTGATGTTGAATCATTCTTTATACGCTTGATCCTACTCTCATAGGTCTCATCTGGTGTTCAACTGTGAAGCCATTGCTATTATTTTTCTTCTTTCCTCTAATCCAATTTATCAATGCAATTAAATTATGGTCTCCTTCTCCACAGATTTTCTCATCTTCCGTAAAAAGAGTAAATCTCATGATCAATGCGGTCAGCAATCCGCTCAAGTGACCTACAAAGCTTGCTTCAGGGACTATATTTTATTTACCACAAACATTACCAATAATTGATGTGAACAAGAGCCAAGCCCATGGAAAGAATAACTTCCTCATCTTGAACATACCAAATAAGTTCATATACTTATCACCGATGTGAGACCATAGAAGAGTATAACCGAAGAGGACACCAGAGTACCCCAAGACTCAGCTTTTATTCACCTTTTCTCCTCCATTTAAACTTTCAGGGAGATAAGTCATTCCAAATAATATTAATATCAATAAAGCGCCTTGGCCAATGATAAGAATAGCATTCAAAAGTCAATACTTCAAAAACCCATGATGCTTCTCCAAAGGTGGAGAAAACAACACCAATGTGACCATATTAAAGAAAATATGCTTAAAATCTACATGCGAAAAAGCCGCTGTTACAACTCTAAAAATCTCCCCATCCACCATCTTGGGCAACCATATACAATACTGATAAAATTTCCAGTCCATATACCACTCAAGCACATACACAAGTACATTCACGACCACCAAAATCTTAGTCAGCCACCCTATCTCTGCTACAAATTTCTCCAAACTGCCCATAAATCCTGCACTATTCCTACTCTGGTCACTTCCATCCTCTAAAATGTCAGTCAAGAAGGAAGCTATTGCTCACCTGGTCCTGGGTATCTTCCTTCTGCCCTCATTTTATAATATTTTTTTACAATTTGGTCAGGAATTTTGGGGTTTTGGGGTTTTGGGGTTTTGGGGTTTTGGGG